TCTCCCTCTCACCATATTCTCCAGGTATGGCACCATCAGATTACCATCTTATGAAGTTGGGTTGGAAAGTTCTCTCCCACCCATAATATTCTCCAGGTATGGCACCATCAGATTACCATCTTATGAAGTTGGGTTGGAAAGTTCTCCCCCACCCACCATATTCTCCAGATATGGCACCATCAGATTACCATCTTATGAAGTTGGGTTGGAAAGTTCTCCCCCACCCACCATATTCTACAGATATGGCACCATCAGATTACCATCTTCTTAGTTCACTGCAACACCATCTCAATTGGAAAGCGTATGCAAATGTGGAAGGTGTTAAAGAGAACATCAAAATTTTTTTTGCCTCAAAGCCAAGTGATTTCTTTAATCAGGGCATTAATAACCTGACTGTAATAGGAAAAGCATCATCGATAAGAATGAAGACTATTTCATTTAATAAATGTTTTGTTTTGATATACAAGTTGTTTGGGTTTTTTTCATCTACAAAAAGCGACATTAACTTCTTGATGACCTAATATATATATACAAAACTGTTTAAATATGACCCAGTCAAATATTTTACCTTTTGAAACCTCAGCAATTCATCATACAGATTCTTTTCATCTCTGTCCTGTTAGTCAACCATTGTAACATCATACAGATTTGTTAAATCTGTCCTGTTAGCCAACCCTGCAGGTGTTGTAACATCATACAGATTCTTCTAATTTCTGTCCTGTTAGCCAACCCTGCAGGTGTTGTAACATCATATAGATTTTTCTCATTTCTGTCCTGTTAGTCAACCATTGTAACATCATACAGATTCTTCTAATCTCTGTCCTGTTAGTCAACCCTGCAGGTGTTGTAACATCATACAGGCTCTTCTAATCTATGTCCTGTTAGTCAACCCTGCAGGTGTTGTAACATCATACAGGCTCTTCTAATCTCTATCCTGTTAGTCAACTGTTGTAACATCATACAGGCTCTTCTAATCTCTGTCCTGTTAGTCAACCCTGCACGTGTTGTAATATGATGGATAATTAAAGAAATCTGTGTCCTCACCACTCTATAATTATTACTTCATACCAACTCCCTAAAAAAATTGTTTTATGACAAATGGAAAGGTTAAAACATTTTCAAGGAACCTCTATAAACATGTTTTTTGTTGGCAATAACAAATCACCCCTATTACTGATGAGACATTTTGAGCAATAAAACTAGAAAGAAATGACCTTTACTCCAGGAAAATAAAAGGATTTTGAGCTGTCCTTTCATCAGGGATAGTAGTACGAGAACCATTTGATGTATTGCTACACAAGTATACCATATTGTGTACTACCTTATTTCTTTGTCATAGTTTACGTTATATAATATTGGCTATTATAGGTGTGTTTTCCAGAATGAGGATGAAACCAGGTTCAGTAAGTGTGTCAGATATTAAACAAGTTTTGATCAATTTAATAAGTGACCCAAACACTTCTTATACAAGCTGGTTAAGCAGTATTTCATGGTCTCACTCACTGTACTGTCAGGGGGTTTCAAAACCAATATCAGTCCTTACTAACACAACCCACTAGTTCAAAGCAACAGTGTCCATATACCAACTCTCAAACAGTGCTTATAGTACCAGTCCTGATGAAATTGTAATGGCAAAATTTTGGCTGAGACAAAGTTATTTGTTTTCTGAATTTATTGTCAAAATCCCTTCAGTATTTACTACCAATTTTGAAAAACAGCAAAATGAGACCATTTTTAGTTTGTGTGTGTGACTAAGTCATTCAGTATTTTAAAATTTTTATCTTATACTACATGAGAGAGTTCGTGGCTTCAGTCTTATATTTTTCTTTCAATAATTCATACTTTTATTTAAAGGCTTTTCTGTAAGAGAAAACAAAAGTTAAGCTCTCTCTGTGGATGTGCTCCTCCACAGTTTTAATTAACAAATACAGAAGTGGGAGAGATACTTGCTAGAATTAAGTATAATGTACAATTTTCAATAGGGGTGGGGGTGGTAGACATGATAAAAAAAACCTTTCATGCAAAATCAATCAGTTGAAGTCCAACCTATTGAACTAAAGTCGTTCTTTCATATTTACACATGCTTTATAAAGTTTTGTACCTGCATTTACACCCTTACTAACATAAAACTGTTTCAAAACAGCAGTGTGCATATATAAACACTACTAATTCAAATCACTGCATCTATTGGCCCTTGATAATACAAACCACTGTTTCAAAACAGCAGTGTGCATATATATAAACACTACTAATTCAAACCACTGCATCTATTGTCCCTTACTAATACAAACCACTGTTTCAAAACAGCAGTGTGCATATATCAACACTACTAAATCAAGCCACCGCATCTATTGTCCCTTACTAACACAAACCACTGTTTCAAAACAGCAGTGTGCATGTATCAACACTACTAATTCAAACCACTGCATCTATTGTCCCTTACTAACACAAACCACTGTTTTAAAACAGCAGTGTGCATGTATCAACACTACTAAATCAAGCCACCGCATCTATTGTCCCTTACTAACACAAACCACTGTTTTAAAACAGCAGTGTGCATGTATCAACACTACTAAATCAAGCCACCACATCTATTGTCCCTTAATAACACAAACCCACTGTTTTAAAACAGCAGTGTGCATCTATTGTCCCTTACTAACACAAACTCACTGTTTCAAAACCAACAGTTGTCACACTGTGGTTTTGGAGTCTCATTAAATAACGAAACAAGCCATACACTGCTAACATGTATTATTTGATGGTACCTAGAACAGACAATAATAGGCACTATGTAGTGTTCTAACTAACATAACACTTCTCAGGAGCTTTATCACACAGTTTTAGAAATTTTTATTTCATTCTCTAATAATATAAAAAAACTTATACGTCTCTGTAATCTGTACTTTGAAAAATTATTTTTAACTGGGTAATTGTAGTTAAAACTACAATTATTACCAATAATCAACATTTTATACCTGCACACCAGCTAACTAGAATCTTTAGAAGGAGAGACTGGTGAGAAACAGGTTTTCTTTCAGTGACAGGAGAATTAATCTGATAAAAAACTTTGCTCTGAACAGGAGCTGAGGAATTATAGTAATAACGATAATGAGAAAACAGTTCATTTCTAGGAAAGGTTTTTCTTTAATGTCACATGACATTATAGATTAAGACAGGTCATATTCTCAATCAAAATAAACAAACCTACACAAAACACCCCTATACTGGCTATCAACCCACAAACTTTGCTTCTAATCTGTTTCTTCTATACAAGACATTTCATTAATACAGTTTTGAGGGAATCATTCAATTTCTTAAAAACAAGTAACACAGCTTTCATGACTTCTTCTTAAGTTGCATTCTCCATTTTGTCTCTATAAAATGGTTCCAATTTCATACAAGAATAGATTAAGAAGTATTAATGTCTACTGGAAATTTGTGTAGCAATCTGAATTAACGAGGTTTTGTTGACAACTTAAATGCCCAATTTGAACACCAAACATGGTTTCTAGGAAGCAGTAAGGTTGTGGGTAAGTAAAGACAAACATAAATAAATCTGTAAACAAATACATACACATTTAAATTTACAAATTTTGCAGCTGAAAATTAAAAATGAAATTTGAATATTTCATTTACTATACAAATGTGACCACTTTACTGGAAACAAAACTTCATTCACTTCCAAAATGTTTAATTTAATAATCTTTATCACATTCAAACCCTTCACTGCATGAGCAATAGACCTCGTTAAATAAGTATAAATCTTCTTGTATAACGACTCCGTGACGGAGACAATTTACGTGTTATTCCTAAAGCATGGCAACATTTCTACCTTATATTTACAGGACAATTTTTGTCATCTTAATAAAAAAAAAGTCAATAACACTTACATCGGAGATCAATTATGTACAAGTATACCATGAACATGAGGTAACTATGTACTACTTCATAACATAAGAACAAGAGAAAATTATCAAAATTCATACTTCATGATATATCACTAGATGTTTGTTTGTAATAAACTCCAGTAATCGTGCCTCAGGATCAATATTAACTACATAACTACTTGATGATATATCACTAGATGTTTGTAATAAACTACAGTAATCGTGCCTCAGGATCAATATTAACCACGTAACTGCATGATTAGGTAACAAATTGCAATGATGATACAGATGATACAAATATTGATGTTAACCTCCAGAAGCTAAAAGTACTGTCCAACATCAACAACCAAAATGACACAAGTAATGGAGACATCAACAGCCAGAAACTACATGTACTGCCCAACATAAAAAAACACAAATAATGGGAACATCAGCAACCAAAAGACACAAGTACTGTCCAATATCAGCAACCAAAAGACACAAGTACTGTCCAACATCAACAACCAAATGACATGAGTAATGGAAATATTAATAACCAAAATGACATAAGTAAATGAAACATCAACAACCAAATGACACAAATACTGTCCAACGTCAACAACCAGGAGCTACAAGTTCTGTCCAACATCAAAAACCAAATGACAAAAGTAATGGGAACATCAACAGCCAGAAACTACAAGTTCTGTCCAACATCAGCAACCAAAAGACACAAGTACTGTCCAACATCAACAACCAAATGACATGAGTAACGGGAACATCAACAACCAAAATGACATGAGTAACAGGAACATCAACAACCAGGAGCTACAAGTACTGTCCAACATCAACAACCAAAAAATATAAGTAATGGGAACATCAATAACCAGAAGCTACAAGTACTGTCCAACATCAATAACCAAAATGACACAAGTAATGGAAACATCAACAACCAGAAGCTACAAATAATGTCCAACATCAACAACCAAATGACAAGTAATGGGAGCATCAACAACCAGAAGCTACGAGTAATGGGAACATCAACAACCAAATGACATGAGTAATGGGAACATCAACAACCAGGAGCTACAAGTACTGTCCAACATCAATAACCAAAATGACACAAGTAATGGAAACATCAACAACCAAAATGACAAAAGTAATGGAAACATCAACAACCAGAAGCTACAAGTAATGTCCAACATCAACAACTAAATGACACATAATGGGAGCATCAAAAACCAGAAGCTACAAGTAATGTCCAACATCAACAACTAAATGACACATAATGGGAGCATCAAAAACCAGAAGCTACAAGTAATGGGAACATCAACAACCAAAATAACACAAGTAATGGGAACATCAACAACCAAAATAACACAAGTAATGGGAACATCAACAACCAAAATAACACAAGTAATGGGAACATCAACAACCAAAAGACATAAGTAATGAGAACATCAACAACCAGAAGCTACAAGTACTGTCCAAGTCTTATCATAATTACTGTTAATATAAGTTACCAGCACAGTTGCCAACAGTGACTAGGCTATCAGTTATACTCAAAACTTCTCAGTGCTATTGGTGTGGGTGACAGTAAAACATTACTACTGCTAAAATAAGTAATTAAAATTGATCATTTTTTGTTAATGATAATGGCTTAATGTTACCAATCTTAATGTAAGCTACAAAAATGAACAAATTTGGTAAACACAAGTTGTCATTGTTAAGATCAATAGTTATTAGTAATAACTGATCACAGGCTAACAGTAGTGTCAAGGTCAGTAAACAAAAGTTGTCATTGTTGATATCAATAGTTAGTAGTAATAACTGTCCACATAGTGTCATGATCAGTATACAAAAGTTGTTGTTAGCAAGTGACTAAAACACTATCATCAGATATTAGAAGCTAATGATGTCAAAAAACTAAAAATACTCAGAGTTGATAAACAGTTTAAGTAGTAATTGATCAGACGCTAACAGCAGAGTCAAGATCAGTGACTAAACATTACTGTTGATAAACAATTTAAGTAGTAACTGACCAGAAGCTAACAGTGTAGTCAAGGTCAGTGACCAAATGTCACTGTTGATGCCAACAGTTTAAGTAGTAATTGACCAGAAGCTAACACCAGTGACCAAAAGTTCTGTGTTTATTCCAACATTTATCAATAGTAGATGACCTCAAACCAAAAAACATTCTCAAAGAAAACCACTGAGCAAGAACTATAGCAATGGACACTACAAGCACCATAAATTAATAAACACAGGGACAAAATTCATCAGGACTGTTACAATGGATAAGATTAACCATTACAACTGGACAGCAGAAACAATTTAACACTTAATAAATACATCAGTACTGGTTTAGAAGAGCTCATGACTACAAAATACATAAAACTATAAGTTATAGTGAGTTATATTACTTTAGCTGATAATGTTTTAGCCAACATTTCAGTGTTTTGTACTTGTGTTGAGCTTACTGTCTTATTAAAATAAACTCACCTACACATAATAGAATCTTGAATATATTTGATGAGGAAACTCAAGTATTTCTCAAAACTTCAGTTTTTCTCACGCAAATGAAAATAAATCCTATACCAAGACCTTTCACTCGTTCAACATTTTTTACCTAATTGGTAAAACCTGACTTCCTCAACTGGTAAAAACTACAAGTGAGAAAGCTTTGCTGAAGAAGTGAAACACCTTGGTATAGAATTTAAGAAAAAAAGCAAAGACAACTGTATATTTGACCAAAACCTCCTTCATTAACGACCATGGTTTCACCAATAAAGCCTTTACTGGGAAAACCATGGTCATTAATAAGTGAAGTTTTTGTGAAACGTACAATTGTCTTCATTTTGTTCCTCAATTCTATAATAATGGAGTTTTACCAAATACTGACAGTTTCAAGTAACAATTATCTTTTCTGTCTGGTTGCCCGAGGAAGCTGAAGTTTTAGAGAAATTGATAAAATCTTCCTCTTAACAGGACTTATAGTTCTAGCATCTCTTCAAGTCTTTAGTCATACATTCCTCCGAGGGTCAAACAACAGCTGAATCACACGTTCTGCTCCGTATATCGTGGATTTGCCAGAACATTACCAAATTAAAATAAATACTTTGAAACTTAATTTAGAACGATGTGACATAAACACACACAAAATAATATCACACACAGTGTCATACACTTTATCCCAGACATTTTGCAACACAAAATATGATAATATCCACTTTGGAAGTAAAAAAATATAGAGTACAAACAAAAAAGAACCAATTTCTCCAGAACTACTCTCTGACTTCATTTCAAGGAAGAAAGACAATAGAAATTTGAGAAGTTGTACAGGAAGACCTAAACACAGCAATGAAATTCTTTTGAAATCAATCAGTTAATCATGTTATTGACAATAATATAGAATTATTCTTTCTATGTTGAAAATCTGAAGATATATATATACTGTTAGATATATACAAAAATATATTTACAACATACTCAAACACTACATTTGTTGAGTAGACTTAAATATTTCTCACTTATTTTTCAGTTTGAAACTCTTTTTAACCATTCCAATATAAAGCTAAGAGTGTGTGACAACGAGAATCATGATGCATCTTTAAGTTTAGAGAGTCCAGCTTGTACGTAACGGACTAAGTCCGAGAGAGGGGTGTCTAATGATATACTATCACAACTTGAATCCAAAGCAGCAAAAAAATCTGGAAGATTGAAAATGAAGTATAAGTACATTTTTTTTTTCCTTACAGAACAGGTAAAGACATAGTTTCTGTATTTTAAAGAACATATATTTATACATATAGAATACTAAAGTTAGAAAAAATTGTAAAATCTACATTCACAATGTTAGGAAAATGTGTAGATTAAAAACAATTAAATACAAAAATATTCAACCCTATTTTGAGTTGTTGTTATTTCTAAGAGACTGGTTTTTATTATTATTATTGAAACAGTTGTAGGTTTAGTGAATATGGAAATAAAAACATAAAAAAAACTTATTGTACAATTTACATTATATGTCAAAAATGTAAGTCAGAGTTGGATAACAATAGGAAAATTTACATCATGTACTGAATACTGAATGTAATAAACTGTAAAAATTACATTATATCTCAAAAATGTAAGTCAGAGTAGGATAACATTAGGAAAATTTACATTATGTAATAAACTGTAAAAATTACATTATATGTCAAAAATGTAAGTCAGAGTAGGATAACATTAGGAAAATTTACATTATGTACTGAATACTGAATGTAATAAACTGTAAAAATCACTTTAGAGTGATACTTTAAAATTCCTGTTTCCTACTGTCTTGTTTCACAAACCATCACTTTAGAGTGATTCTTAAAAACTCCTGTTTCCTACTGTCTTGTTTCACAAACCATCACTTTAGAGTGATACTTTAAAATTCCTGTTTCCTACTGTCTTGTTTCACAAACCATCACTTTAGTGATACTTCAAAACTCCCGTTTCCTACTGTCTTGTTTCACAAACCATCACTTTAGAGTGATTCTTAAAAACTCCTGTTTCCTACTGTCTTGTTTCACAAACCATCACTTTAGTGATACTTCAAAATTCCTGTTTCCTACTGTCGTCTCACAAACCATCACTTTAGTGATACTTTAAAATTCCTGTTTCCTACTGTCTTGTTTCACAAACCATCACTTTAGTGATACTTAAAAACTCCTGTTTCCTACTGTCTTGTTTCACAAACCATCACTTTAGAGTGATACTTAAAAATTCCTGTTTCCTACTGTCGTCTCATAAACCTTCACTTGAGAGTGATACTTTAAAATTCCTGTTTCCTACTGTCTTGTTTTACAAACCATCACTTTAGAGTGATTCTTAAAAACTCCTGTTTCCTACTGTCTTGTTTTACAAACCATCACTTTAGAGTGATACTTCAAAATTCCTGTTTCCTACCGTCGTCTCACAAACCATCACTTTAGTGATACTTCAAAATTCCTGTTTCCTACTGTCGTCTCACAAACCATCACTTGAGAGTGATACTTAAAAATTCCTGTTTCCTACTGTCGTCTCACAAACCATCACTTGAGAGTGATACTTAAAAATTCCTGTTTCCTACTGTCGTCTCACAAACCATCACTTGAGAGTGATACTTAAAAATTCCTGTTTCCTACTGTCTTGTTTCACAAACCATCACTTGAGAGTGATACTTAAAAATTCCTGTTTCCTACTGTCGTCTCACAAACCATCACTTGAGAGTGATACTTAAAAATTCCTGTTTCCTACTGTCTTGTTTCACAAACCATCTACTTGAGAGTGATACTTAAAATTACCTTGTTTCCTTACTGTACGTTCTTCAACAAACCATCCTACTTTCGAGAGTTCGATTACTTAAAATACCTTGT